CCTCAGCACCCAGCTCCCAGGCTCCCCACCCCTGGCTCATGCCTGGGCCTCTGCAGCTCAGTTCCAAGAGCTGCACAGCAGCAATGATATTTGCAAAGCTGTGTACCAGAAACCAAGCCGGCTTTGCAGTATATGCAAAGCAGTCGAGGAATAGAAAGCAGGGCTCCAGAGACAAAAGTTCGTCTTCACCCCCCAACTCATAGCCCCTAAATCCATACAATTCAACCCAAACCAACAGCCTTCTCCTTCCCACACCCCCACAGCTCCTCACCTACTCTCAGACACTTTATTTATTTGTTTGTTTGTTTGAGGCAGAGTCTCACTGTCACCCAGGCTAGAGTGCAGTGGTGCCATCTCGGCTCACCGCAGCCTCCACCTCCCGGGTTCAAGAGATTCTCCTGCCTCAGCCTCCCAAGTAGCTGCAATTATAGGTGTGCACCACCACGCCTGGCTAATTTTTTTTTTTGTATTTTTAGTAGAGATGGGGTTTCACCATGTTGGCCAGGCTGGTCTCGAACTCCTGACCTCAGGTGATCCACCCATCTCGGCCTCCCAAAGTGCTGGGATTACAGGTGTGAGCCACCGTGCCTGCCCTCTCAGATACTTTAAACATTACCCATTTTAAACAAGAGCACAAACCCCACTTGGACCATCACTGGGCAGTAGCTGTTGAAATCATTTCTAAGAATCGTTTTCTACTTAGGAGGCCAACATTATTTTTGGAAAACTGAATGGGAGTTGGAGAAAAGTAACAATGAACCATCTCAACCATTTGTTGAGCACTTCAGTGGACCAGGCCCCCTCCAACCTCATGACAGCCCTCTGAGGCTGGGGCCACTATGAACCCACTGCGCAGACCGGAAAAAAAAAAAAAAAGTCCTTTTCACCAAATCAAGGTGTCATTACTTCTTCCATTTTCTTTCTCTTAGTGGGTTCTCTTGGGTGCCAAATCTTAGCTCACGGCTTTGCTCCACCCAACACAAACCAAATGTCACATCCAAGAAAAACACTCTGTGCCTTTCAGTATACTTCTCACTCCAGCAACCACTAGACTCTCTTGAAGGTAAAACGAAAAATGATGCCATCAATCAGGCATGAACTAAATTCTCCCTTAAATCTTGCTCTATCCTTCCAATGCCCAACAGTGCAGCTGTTCCTCTCTCCTCTGAACATCATCACGACATTAAAGAAACATGCTAACAGGAGATTTCCCCATCTTTGAACTACTTCATAATCCTCCTCTATCTACAGCACATGGATCTTTTGTTCACTTACTCATTCCATTGCCAAAGAGAGGCAGAGGACCTATTACTACATAGGGCAGCATTAGGGCAGTGGTCCCTGCCCCCAAAGAGTTTAAAGTCTGGTGGGGAAAGTAAATGACAAAAGATAAAAATTATTATACAAGTGAACCACTATAACCACAGCATGCTTTTAGAATGCAGGTTCCAAGCAAACAGGAACCTTCTTTACCCTGTACTGCATACTCCCTGAACCAGAGCAGTATCTGGCACACAGTAGGCATCTAATAAACATACACATGCCATAGTGCATATAATTCAATAACAGTCGTCACATTTGCCCAGAGATACTTGTAGCTCGTTATTTCTTAAGCATTTCCTAGTGCAGAGCACTGCTAGGTACTTTTCAGAGGTTATCTCATGTTATCAGCACAGCAGATACCACATTACCGCAGTGCAATCCTGATGACTCCCATTTTGCAAAGAAGAAAATTAACGTGCAGGGAATCAAACTCAGGATTCCATAGTCAGCAACAAACTAAACCTGCCCCAGTGGAAAGCCTGTGGTCCTAACCATGAGGGACACAGTGGCCAGGGAGTGCTTCCCAAAGGACAGATTGAAGCAAAGGGACAGAAAGAAGAAAGTTCAAAGCAGAAGGAACATGTGCAGGCTGGGGAAACAGACCAAGGAGGAGCTGCAACTTTTCTCAGTTAAATACAATGGGTTTTACCAAATCTTTTGATAGTTGCTGACGCCCTCAATATGCCCTGGATGTGAGCACTTCAAGAGAGAGTACTAGTAACCCAATAGAGTATGTTTAAGTAGGGCAACTCCTACATTGTTAAAATGACTTAAAGTTTTATATTCACTCCAGAACCTGCAACTTAGGGAAGGTGAGCCGTGAGGAAGAGCAACTCTCAGGTCCATTTCTTAGTCCTCCCTCAGAAAGAGGAAAACTTCAGAAAAACCACAAAGATAAAAATCAAGCGCTTTATAACTGCACACCTGAAGTCCAAATTCCAATCCTATGCGCTTCTACTGATATAAGAAATTAACAAGCAACCACGGACTCTTTTACCCCAATACTCATAGGATCATGACTCAAAACATTCTCAATAATAGAGGAGATGCTGCTCCTCTGGCTAACCCTCACGGACCCTGGGGTAAACTGTTTTAATCTCGGCAATAAACATCGATTGAGAGTCAGTAGACTAAACGGCATTGCGCTATCTACACAGGCATACGACAGCAATCAATATATTCTACTGGAAGCAGACAGACAAGAAAACAAAAAATTAAAGCATTTCAATCAGTGATGAGTGCTGTCCAGAAATGGAACAATGATTAGCTGGAGGTAAATAGGGGAGGAAGGGCCTGTTAAAGTCCTTGGAACCAAGACTGAAATGATGAGAAAAAGCTACTTGGAAGGAGGACATCCTCAGCCAGGCAAAAAAAAAAAAAAAAAAAATGAGACAGAGAGAGAAAAAACAACAAAAACAAAATGGAAATAAGCTAAGTGCTTTGGGGGCAAGAAAGGCCTCATGGCTAGAGCTCCATGAATGTGGAGAGAGTAGAAGAGATGAGAATGGGGAGAAAAAGAGTTAAGAAGAAAGGCCAACCAAGGATGGTCCTGTAGGACCCCGGCAAGATGTGAGAGGCTAAGTGCAATCAGGTATCACTGGAAGCTTTTCAGCAGCAAGGTACCATGAACTGGTTTTCGCTTTAAAAGGTTTGCTCTGGATTTCATCAAAAAGATACAGGCTGGCCCTCACCTGGTCCAGTGCACACAACACAATGGCTACCAACGGAGAAAGAGGCAGAACTCATCCATATGCCAACATCCACCAGAGTCCCAACAAAGAAGAGGAAAGGACCTCTTGGTCACCAGCTGCTTGGACTTCCAAGGACGTGCTCTCAATACATAAGACCACTTTTTCTGAAATCCAACCTCCTCTCACCATTCTTCATTCCCTCCATGGATGAGGCTGAAAAATAAGATACGATGCCATGGCACAAAAATCTCCCCCATTTAAAAACAAGTCTTGAAAAAAAGAATTGTGTTTCAGGAAAGCCAGGGAGGAGGCATAAAGAGGCTCTGAACATTTAGATTCTAGCACTGCACAGAAACCCCAAGACCAAGAGAAACCAGCAAGCAAGTCTAGTGTCAGGGGCCTCCTGGTCACTTGGCTGGTCTGAGGTGACACCCAATGCCCGCCTGCAGGGTGATGAAGAAGCCAAGACATGAAACACGCGTCGGCTTGACTGCCAGGCTAAACAACCAATACCAGGAAACACTATCTCGGCATCCAACACATCAAAAGGCAGTCCACGTGAGGATCTATCTGTGGCAATATCATGCCAGAAATCTGGGCTAATCTGACTCTGCTATTCATAAATTCCCCCTCATGTTAAAGCACATGTGTTTGGGAAGGAAAAATGAATCCAAGTCAATTTTAGACATTGTTACTTGGAAACCATCTGGAGTCCCTGGAAGCATAAGAAGGCACCGCATCCCTGCCCTCAAATGCCCACTGTAACTAGGGCAGTATGTTTAGATGGGAGTTTAGATGTCCTCTATTCCCCAGGGATGTCCCCACCCCCATCCTACCAGGTGCCAGTGCAGGCTCCACTTCCCACCCAAGAAAGGTATTCGGTTTCTTGGTAAACCTAGTGGAAAGCCCTCGATGTGTTGAGCTTGCATTTAAACTGCACCCAAGGCCGGATTCTTTGCTTTCTGATTGCTTTAGAGCTGCACACCTGAATTCCTTTGCCACAGCAGCAACGGAAATCCCTCCCCAGGAGCAAAGGTTCCAGGAAAAAATCCCCTCTACCTAACGATCCTGTGTTCAAAGAATGTCTAGTCTTGGGAGAGAACCACCAGGATTTTTATGTAACCTTAATAGATGTTGGCACCCCGCAGAGGCGCTCCTGGAGTCCAGATGTAGCCCATTTTCACCGTGATGGAAGCAGGAGGGGTCTTGTGGTTTCCCCAGGCCTGACTCTTCTGACTGAGGGGCCTCTGTCCCCTTCCCCTACCTGGCTGCGGTTCTCGGCTTCTCTCATCTTCCCGAGGACTTGGGCCTCCTTTTTGCAGCCTCCCTCCCTCCACTGAAATCAGTCCTAACACCAAGCAGGCAGCAACGCCATTCCACCAGTACCTTCCTTCCTCTCCCACCGCTCAACCTTTCCCCCCACCAAACGCCTCAGGAAACCCGGCCGGGAAAGTGATCCAGAACCTCCTACAGTCATACTCCCTGAAAACGAACGCGGCGGGAGGGGCAGGCCGACCAGGCCCGGCCCTTTCCCTGGACCCGGGAGCAGCCCTGAACTCGGCGCATGGGAGGGGAGGGAAGAGATCTCCGGAGACCCACTGCGGTTCGGCTGCCTCCAGCACAATCAGAGCAAACACCTGTTTCCAGGAGGATACCCGGCCAGAGGGAACAGGGAGTCCGGGGAAAGGCTGGGAGGACGAAGCGAAGGGGCAGCCGGGGACGCAGGTAAAGGATGCGTCACACTTGGCGCTTGGCAACCGGAGCCCGGAGCAGAAGGCGGCGGGAGAGAGGGGCTGCGGGGTCTGGGAAGTTCAGGGAGGAGGGGGTCGCGCCCGCCAGCGGCGTCTGCGGGGAGCTGGCGCAGGGAACGGACGGCGGGGAGAGAAGGAAGGAGGACAGGAGGCCGGGCGGGCTCCATCACCTGCGCGCCCCGGCGGATGCAGCCTCGCGGGCGCGCACCGGCCCCGGTGCCCGCGGGTGACCTACCTGCCCACCGTCTGGTTGGCCAGCTGGCGCATGCGATTGAACTGCTTCTTCATCGTGGCCCGGCTGCCGCGCTAGCCCGGGAGCTGGGGAAGGACTGAGCAGCCCGGAGCCCGCCGCAGGGTTACATGGCTCCCGCGCCGAGCCTCCCGGGCGGCGGCGGCGGCACTGCGGGGCCTCCGGGAGCCGTCTGGCCCGCGCGCAGCTCCCTCCCGAGGGCACCGCCGCCTACTCCTCCTCCCGCCGCGCCGCCTCCTGCCGCATCCCCCTCGCGCGCGCCGCGCAATGCCCGGGGCAGAGCAATGCCCGGGGCCGCCCTCGGCGCCGGCCCGCTCCGCCCGGGCTGCCTGCCCCCAGTCCCAGTCCAGCACGGGGACCCGGGAGTCTCCGCAGGCTGGCTGGCCGGCTGGCCGGGCTGTCCCCGTGCGCCTGTGCGGAGAGCGCCGTGCATGCCGGGACTTGTAGTTTCGCGCCCCCGAGCCCACCTTTTCCTCTGTCCAAAGTTTGCAAGGACAGTGGAGAGCGGAGGTGGGAGAAGACTGCGTCGCCAGCAGCTCTGCACTTTAGCATTCGAGTAAGGGAAACGTTTTCCTGTTTTAAAAATGGCAAAGTGGGACCAAGAATATAACAGCAAATAAAGAAAGTGAGCATCTGTCTCTCATTGTATTTTTAGTGAATGTGAGGCATCAGTGTTCTGAATTCACAGAAGGGAGATTTATGCTAGCAGATACATGGCTGATAAAACTGTATAAGGTCACCTGATTAATGGTGAGGTTCAGGGTTAAGCTTGAAACACAGGAACTGACAACAGATTTTGAACCAGGCACAGCTTGCCTCGCGGAAGTCTGATTCTTTATTTTTACCAAACCCAATAGGTAACCAGAACCAATACAGATAGTGACATTGTGTTTACTGGCCCAACCTGTCTGAGACAGCTTTTTAAAATAGCTTAGATGCCAGTCTCATATCTCGTTCCATTTCCCTTTCACCACCAGGAAACCAAGAGGCATCAGCTGTAGCACCCCCGCCCACCCCACCCTCCCATCCCAGTGTCCTGGACCACAGCATCCCACTGGCATCAGCTGGCTCCTTGAAAGGGGTTGTGGCTTCTTCAGTCTCTATCCTCAGAACAAGATAGGTGATTGCATCAATATCAAGGTTTTATCATTATATATCAAGTAAGAGCAGTATTATTGGATGCTAGGCACTTTGGATTAAACAGATAGGAGTTCCTGTATCAGAATTCCACATACCTGTTACATAACCTTAGGAAAATTGCTTTACCTCTCCAAGCCTCTCTCTCCTCATCCCTAATAGAGAAATGTGCCACCTGATCTCAAGGAAGAGAACTGTTTGTTAAACTACCAACAATTAAGTTACGTATAAATTTTCATGTAGTACATTGCCATATTCATTTACTACAAAATGATTATGCTTAGCATAATAGAGAAAAATCCTATTCATACAACAGAAATGCTAATCTTATAAAAGAAGGATCTTCTTTGAAATGGGATATTTTGCATATGTCGATTATAGTTGCAAGATGTCCTAAATATGGCTCTAAGTATCTTGCTGGCCAGCTGAACAAAAAATGGTTTGAGGCATGTCTTGGCTGAATGAACATGAAATCTTTAATTAATTGTGAATTTAGTCTCTGCTTATTAGGTCAGACAGCTCTAGCCAGTGAATAAACAAAGGCATTATTTGCTTTTAACTAACTGTGTACCTATAATGTCAATATGATGTCTATGTTAAGTGAAATTATTTCCATTGTGAGATTTTTAAAAAGCAAAGCACAACACGCTTTTTATGTGTAGAAATAATAGTAAGACATGAAGGTCACTGTATGACTTTTAGCAACACTATGTCTGGTAACTTCTAGAACTTCACTGTTGAATATGGTAGCCCCTAGCCATAAGTGGTTGTTGAAATTTAAATTAATTAAAATTCAAAATTTAGTTCCTCAGTCACCCAAGTCACATTCAAAGTGCTTAAGAGCCATGTATGGCTTAAGGCTACTGTACTGGACAGCCCACAGATGGAGAACCTTCCTATCCTCTGTTTTACTGGTCAGCACTAGTCTTCAAGAACTATCTGGTAGACAACTCCAGTATCATGCCAGTTCCTGCCTTCAATCCTAAGGTGTTTTCATTCCAAAGAGAAATCCCTGCTTCTTCACAAAAGGCAGCCAGAGTGTGCTCCAGTATTTTATTAACGGGTGGCTTCTCCGCATATTTTCTGTCCTCCTTTGAATGCTTCTCCACTCAGGAAGCAGCTACTGCATTTTCTGTTTTCTACCCCGGGGAAGGGATAATAGTGCAGAAACAAGAGCTTCAGAAACACATGTGACAGAATAGAGTTCTTCAAGAAAAGAGTGTTGAGTTTCCAGAATACAGGCTTTGGAGCTTTAATAGTCTGTGTCAGAAATAGTAGATTATAAAGAATATATCATCCTGCTTAGTCTAAATAAAGAAGCCACAGGCTGTGAGATGTTGAAGATGGTGATGGGGATGGGAAGGCAGGAGAGAAAGAGAGAAGACAAGTCGATGATGGATGTATAGCTACTATTAATGTCCAAACATTTCACTGCCAACCTCTATGGGAAGGATTATATTTTACCTTACTGTTGAGGTAAAGATCGGTCATGTGATTTTTCTCTGAACAATGAATATGCACAGAAGTGACTTTATGCTGCTTCTGCGGGCAGAAGTTTTAGTCCTTTTGTGATCCTGCCCTCTTCTTGTCAATACTGACAATGATCCAGTTAGGAGCTACTGTGGAAGAGCGATGTGGCCTTCCAGCTGGCATGAAAAAGGTGACTTTGCTGTTGTAAGTCAGAGGTTTGGGGACTGTTTGTTGCTGCAACATAATTGAGTCTGAGCTGACTGCTACAGTGGGATTTTTTGAGAAAGTAGCATGCACCTTGCTTTTCCCCATGGTCAACAATTAGGTTGGGAGCAGGCAGGCTGGAGACAGATATATCATGTAGTTTCGGGGCATCTGAGCATGGTGGGGAAACTGTAGACCACTTCTAGAGTGAAGGCTCACAGAGATCCTCTGCCTTCTAAGACACAGGGCCAGTAAAATGTCTACCTGAAGTGCCTCATGTACCCATGCCATGGGCTAGTGGCAGCCCCAGACCTCCCTGCACCATGTACATGATTCAATGTCTGCATATGCCCTGTGAGGATACACAAATGTACCTGAAAGAGCTGGATGTGAAAGCTATTGGAATCAAAGATGATGATCAGGAGAAGGAGGGAACATTGGCCAAGATGGGGAATGAAGACGGAATTACCTGAAACAATTTTTGCCACCTAGAAGAATAGACTTAAAATAAAATGTAAATGTATTTGCAAAAGAAGAAGAGGAGGTGAGGAAGAAGGGTGGGAAGGGGAAAAAAAGGAGGGAGAGGAGTAAGAAGAGAAGAAAAGAAGAAAAAAATTTCTATGTCTTTTACATCTACCTTTGACATATGGGAGGATTACACCTCCCTGCTCCTGTTGACCTTCACTTTGGCTTGTCTCTTGCTTTGGCCAACAATATATGGGCGTCTTACTTGCTTCAGCCATATTATAATACTATTTATCTGAGACATGTTTCCTTAGAAATCTGATACTCCATTTAGAAGCCCCTGAATTAGAATGGTTTTAACCTCTACTCTGAGAGCAAGCATTCACTATAACCTCTACTCTGAGAGCAAGCATTCACTGGAGCTACCTGGCCAATTCAAATTAATTTAATTTAAATCAACTTAATTTAAAGTAGGTTTAATTAATTTAATTTAATTTAATTTAATTTAGGTTAAATAAAACAAAAAATTCAGTTTTTCATTTCAAGTGCCCAATAACTACATGTGGCTAGTGTCTGCCATAGTAGACAACGTAAAATAGACATTTTCATCATCATAGAAAGCTCTATTGGACAGGGCTAGTCTACAGAACAGAAGTCAGAATAATTTCATGTCACTTAACAACAAGGATACATTCTGAGAAATACATTATTAGGTGATTTTCTTGTTGCACAAACATCATAGAAAGCACTTACACAGCTAGGCATGATGGCTCACGCCTGTAATCCCAGTGCTTTGGGAGGCTGACACGGGTGGATCACCTGAGGTCAAGAGTTCGAAACCAGCCTGGCCAACATGGTGAAACCCCGTTTCTACTAAAAATACAAAAATTAGTCGGGTGTGGTGACACATGCCTGTAATCCCAGCTACTTGGGAGGCTGACGCAGGAGAATAGCTTGAACCCAGGAGTTGGAGGTTGCAGTGAGCCAAGATTGTACCACCGCACTCCAGCCTAGGTGACAGAGTGAGACTCTGTTTCAAAAAAAAAAAAAAAAAAAGAAAGTACTTACACAGACCTAGATGGTATAGCCTACTACACACCTAGGTTATATGGTATAGCCTACTGCTCCTAGGCTACAAACCTCTGTAGCATATCACTGAACTAAATAGTGTAGGCAACTGTAACAACAATGGTGTTTGTGTATCTGAACATATCTAAACATAGAAAAAGTACAATGAAAATACAGTGTTATAATTCTATGGGACCACAGTTGTATATGTAGTTCTTCATTGACTGAAACATACTATACATCATCTGATTGTGTAGGGTCTACAGAAGAGAGAAAGCAGCCAGGTGCGGTGACTTATACCTGTAATCCCAGCACTTTGAGAGGTCAAGGTGGGTGGATCACAAGGTCAGGAGTTCAAGACTAGCCTGGCCAACATGGTAAAACCCCATCTGTACTGAAAATATAAAAATTAGCTGGGTGTGGTGGTGGATGCCTGTAATCCAAGCTACTTGAGAAACTGAGGCAGGAGAATCATTTGAACCCAGGAGGCAGAGGTTGCAGTGAGCCAAGATTGCGCCATTGCACTCCAGCCTTGGCGACAGGAAGAGATTCCATCTAAAAGAGAGAGAGAGAGAGAGAGAGAGAGAAAGCAGAACAGGAATCCTGAGCTCACTGTAATTACGGCCACTCATATTGCTGGACTTCTCCAGGCTACTCTTTTTTCATCTACTATATGGGGGTTTATGGTAGAAAATCACTAAGTAATATATCTTGGGGGAATTAATTGGCCAGTCTATTTGCTCAATAAATTGCTGTTGGAGAAGATACACGTCAGCCTTACTGTATTTAATGTGTCAAAACAACATTCAGTGCTACAATACAACTGAAGGATATTATAGATCTCAATCACCTTTATACTTGCAGGTATCAAAGTTGATTTACACCATTAAAGTGTATCTGTTAGTCCAAAATATTTTTTAAATAAGAGGATAGACATTCCCATCTTTGGGCATGTTATTAACAGACGTCATTAACTCCAATTTTCAGCTTTCCCTCAATATATTTTTGCATTGTCTCATCATGGGCAGAGTGTATTTT